CAGACTGTACCATGAATTATGACTTTGCAAAGCCCCACTCCTGCCATCAAGGTGATGCTGACTCATAGAAACCCTTTACAGGAGCTTTGAGGCTATAAATCTTTATGAGAGAAGATAGCCTCATCTTTATCCTGAATAGGGATTGCTGAGTGTGAAAAGTCTACCCTTCTATGATCACTTCAGTGCTTAGCGGACAGCACCAAATCCTCCCAACTGAACCAATAAATAATAAATGGTAGAAATTACAGTTCTCAATAATTCAATTCTTATAAAATTAGCAATCAATGTTCATGGAAGCAATAGCTAAGAAAACAAGCCATATATTGCCTTATTATAATTTGAAGCAAAATTCCTCTTAAAACTGTAACAAAGAAATCATATCCCTTTAAAGACTGAAGTGCACCTGACCCAACCCACGGTCTTTTCAATGGTCTCATCTGACAGTGACAGTTGAACATTAAAAAAGGAAGATTTAATGAGAGCTGACACATTAGGATTGTGATATTGTGAAGAATATTGAATACTCAACAAACTCACTACCGTTGGATTAATTCTGAAACATACTGATCTTATGGGACAAAGTAGAACTGCCCACACTGGTTTTCTGAGGCTATCAGTCTCTCAGGGACTAGAAAACCTCATTCTTCTGAGAAGCAGTTCGAAGGTTTGAATCATTGACCTTGTGGTTAACAGTCCAACGCTTACCGGACAGAGTCACCAGAGCTCCATTATTGAATACCAGAGGGCTCCCGCAAGTTTGTGGTCAAATTCCAGGAACTTTCCATTCCCTTATCCATGAACTTTTTATAGCAGCCTCGTATACTGCCAAAAGAACAAACGGACCTCTCTTAGAGGTAGTATGACTAGGATGAGCCTTAGCAAAGGTGGTGAGACTTTTTCATGCTTACTTTGGACACGTCATCAGGAAAGACCAACAGCTAGAAAAGGATATTATGTTTGGCAAAGTCAAGGGTCAGCGAAAATTAGGGAAATTCTTCATGGGATGAAAGAGCCGTGCTGGTGGTGTTGGGTAAGCATTGGATTGCTAGCTACAATGTCAGTGGTACAAACCCATCAGCAGCTTTGATGGAGAACAATGAGGCTATATATGTCATAGAAAATATTTATATAAGCAACCTTTTGAGTTGGAATTGACTTCATGGCAGTTCTGTGTGGTTTTCTGAGATGGATTGACAGGGGAGATATAATATTGAGGTAACACAGTAAAGATTGTGAGGACGACCCAGCAGTGTCTTGTTCTGTTACACGTCAGGTCTCCAGGTGTCGTATCTGACTTAGTGGCAACTAACGAAGTGAAGCAATATGTGGTCTTAAAGCTTGTTTCCAAACAGGCAGCCATCTAAGTGATACATCAACTAAGTCCACATGGAAGAAGCATACCAACATCTGTACCCAAAGGATTATAAATTATATAATCCAAATCCAAAGGAGGGAATAGTATCAGAGCTTACATTGTGAGATTCTGGTGTGCAGCAGGCTACGGATGACATTCCAGCAGCAGGATCTACACCATTTGCAGGATCTGCACAGAGAATAAGCCTCTGGCGATTTCCCGCTGATCATAATTGAGGGATGGGAATAAACTGATTATCAGACAGAGTATTAGAGAGACAGCTTTAGTAGATTAAAATGATAGATCTGACTTGAATGGTTGAAATCTTGTCACTTGATCTCCCCTATGACACACTTTGGCATGATCTGTTTTTTTAAAAAAAAATTTTTATCGTGTGTGTGTGTGTGTGTGTGTGTGTGTGTGTGTGTGTGCTATTGGGGTTTATCTCTGCTGTATTTTGTCATTGTGGGTGGCCTTCCTGAATCTTTGCTATGTGTTTTTCTGTGTTTCTCGGTCTGTGAAACCAAGGATAGATGAACTTGTTGAGACAACAACTAGAATACGTGTTCCTTGAGGGGTGCGTTGTGGGAGGTAGGGGATTAAAGGGGGCTTATATCAAGGAATTCAAAAGGAAAGAAAATGTTTTAAAAATTGATTTGGAAGCAATTGATCAATATGTGATGTGATTGAACTATGGAATGTTATGATGTCTGGATTAGCTACTAATAAAATGGTTTGGAAAAAAATAATAACAAAGCAAAGAAATTACATTAGCCTGTACATGATATCACCTAGTAGTTATGATGATAAAGAGGAAAGCAAAGGTTTGAAAGTATATATGTAAGTAGTTTTAACAGTATTATGAGATTATGTAGAAAGAACAGGGAATCGTGCAAAGTGAATCACATCTGAGAGTTTAACTTCTAACACACTGATTGCCAAAGCTGGAGTTGACAGTGGGTCTCTCACTCCGTTTTGAGTCTTAGCATAAAGTGAACTGCCACTGAGTTTGTTCTAACCATAAAAAATAATAAGAAAAGTTTTGCCCTTAGGCAAAAAGTGTTTAAAAGTAGGTGACAACTCCCTTAGTCAGCTGGCCCTAAACAGACTTGCCTGAGCCACATGGTAATAAGCCCATCAAATAGCCAGATGATCAAAAGGCCTGAGAACCACCCTTGAAAACATTTCTAACTTCCAATTGGGTATACATCCCAATCAGGGTCTTTTCACAGCTTCTGTACTTTCTCCTGTGGCAATGATGCATTGATCTTCCACCAATCATGTTTTCCTTTGTTTTCTTTGACATGCAATTAGCCCATGTCCCTGAATCCTTTAGACACCATGTGACTTCTTGCTGATGGTCTCCCTCACCTAGATGACTTATGTCTTGGTGCCATTTTGTTTTTTTTATTAAACCTGTATAAAAACTTTGTGTTATATTCTTACTAAACCTTCTTAAGGTTTAATAAAGGGGTTACTCTAAAAGATATTTGAAATTGAAATCTTCAAACCTGAAGCAAGTGCTTTAACCTGCCTGCACCTTAGGGGTGATTTGTTATTATTGTTGTTTCCCTTTATTCTAGTACTTTTTATGTATGTATATTTTTAGTTTTCTTGTTTCTAATGTATAATGTTAAATGGAGGCATCAATGATCTTTGAGTTGTGAGAGGCTATGGAACTTAGAAAAAAGGAAAGTATCTGGGCGTTCCCATGATAAATGCTTTAACTGAATATCAGAAAGAAAGGAAAGATGACCAGAAAATACAAAACCGAAACAAACAAGAATAAAAACCATTGCATAACAGGGATTTATATATTTGAACACTCAGCACTCTAGAATACATGTAAAAGTTATTTTTAAAAATTTAAGAATAATATTACTTTATTATGTATTGAACACCATCCATAGTCCATAAAACCAAAACTAAACTTACTGTTGTTACATCGATTCTGACTCACAGTGGCCCTGTAGACAGAGTGGGACCGTCCCTGTGAGTTCCAGAGACTGTAGCTCTTTACAGGAGGGGAGGCCTTCTGGTCTCCCCTCTGATTTGGCCCGTGGTTTCCAACTGTGATTTGTGGGTGCAGCCCAATGTGTGACCACAACCTCCCCAGGGTACCTCGAAAGATAGTAAATAGTAAGTGTGGTCACAAGAAGCATTTTCTGTGGGGAAAAATCTTTTCTTGTCAGTTATACCTACATCCTGAAAGGAAAAATACAGAGTTTGGAATTTTTAAGAGGAGAGATAACTTTCCCCATATGGCACTTATGATTTAGTTTCCCCTGAAAATTAAGATATTTTTAAAGTATAACAATATATCAAGAAATGATATTCACATTTTTCTCACTGCCCAAATTTATTAATCTATCCACAGTCCTATATTTTCTACTTCTGATATTATTATTTTAATAAATATATAGGAATGAGGTACTAAATTATTACAGCTTATTTATATATTTTGTCCTAATATTCAATTCTTAGACATACTAGAATCTTAATAAAGTATTGCTGCCCAAGATTGAAATCCTTTAATAAATAAAAAACCAAATATAAAGTATTGCTACCCCAAATTAAAATCCTTTAATAAATAAAAAAACAAAATATGAAAACTTTTTCTCAAGAGATCCTTCACTGCAGGTCCACACACTTCTGATAATGGTGTTTCTATCTTTCTAACCTTTCCCCAAAGAATTCTATATTCCTTGATTATATATGATTTTATTTCCAGCAATGATAATATGATTGTTTAAGCTTAAGTCAAATTTGAATTAAACTTGTCAAAGCGTAAAGTTCAGTTTGATAAAAGTAGTTTTTATTGTCATATATTTTCAAAAATATCTAGATTAATGTTAATCATTTTGATAAAGATTTATTTCCCAAACATCAAATTCATACACATGAAAGAATTCAATAACATTATTAAGATTAAAGAAATGATTTATAAAATGTTCCATAATTAATAAAATTATGCTCTCCATAAAATAATAATGTCTTATATATACCTCATAAAGATTCACATTTTAGGAAGTCTTCTTATTAACATTTAATTAGTATATATTCCCCAATTGTCCAATTATATTTAAAAGAGTTGTACAATCATCACCACAATCAATTTTAAGAAATTTTCTTTGATCTCATACTCATTATTAGCATCCCATCATCTCCCAATCCTACCTGTCAACCCGCAAGAAACTATTAATCCAGTTACTGTCTCTATCATTTACTATATTGGGTTTTATATACAGAAAACCAAACAAATACAACAACAAAAACAAAGTAAATGAGAGAAAAACCTGATTCAAAAAGAAAGAAGAGAATATTAGAAACTAGGAAAAAATTGAAGTGGTTCAAAAGGGAAATCAAATGGTAAGGAGTTAAATTTTAAAGTAACCCCAGCTGCCATCATCCACTTTTTCATTTGCTCTATGATCACCGAGCGTTCACTGGAAGCTAAATCCATATATTTCCCCTTCACTTTTCGTCTGTTTTCTTTTTAAATAGAAATGACTTTCAAATATGTCAAATGAGGGTTATGTGATATTGCATTTTAAACTAACTCCATCTGCCATACATCTATCAACTTTACAATTACTCTATCTTTGAAAACAAGACAATTCAAATCCCATGACTATAGTCAGCGGGTATGCACTGGAAGCTTAATCCCTGTGTGGAGTCTGCAGATTTGCGATGGGCTCCAATGTTGTCCGTAGCCTCTGCAAATCAGGTGTTGGCAATGTAAGTTCTGCTATCATTCCATCCCTCAGATTTGGATTCTGTTACGTAAAATCATTGGATTACACAGGCTGGTGTGCTTCTTTAGTTGACGTCTGACTTAGATAGCTGCTCGTTTGAAGACAAGTCTTTAAGACACTAAATGCTGTCCCTTCTGATAGCCTGACACCTTCTATATTCTATGCCACACATTGCTCCAGCACACATCCATTTGGTGATAGCTTCATGAGGGGGAGCATCTAGTAGCGCAGTGATATAATAATTCATTGTTCTTAGGGTTAGATTTAAGTGTGAGCCAAAATTCTACTCATAAATCTATGGTTTATATATGTCTCTATTTCACTTTAGAGACCTTACTATCATTTTATGTTAGAGAACATTATTAATAATGTCCCTGAGGGATAAAACAATTTTATTGATAGTGTTGTTAATACAGCCAATGTTATCAAATTTAAAACACTGTTGAGAAAAGAATACTATCTAAGTGTAAGCCCGCTATGAACTGCACTATAAGGATTGTTGACCTTTACAGCTACTTTGACAGAAAAGACCTCACCTTATCTGGGCTAACTTTTTCAAGATGCCAGGAGGTAGAGAAAATAATTTATTTGCTTCCATACAATATTGTGCTAGGGTCACCCTAAATCAAGGGACATGCCTATGAAAGTGATAAATGTACCCTAATGGAAATTCAAGTCAAATTGTGGGTGGGGGGACATGAATGTCTTGGAGAGGATGCTTACATTTATACTGATAGGTAAAGAGGGAGGAGCAACCTCCCATGGGGTGGGGGGGGTAATAATACTTATATAGACGCCAAGGGAAGAATATGCCTGGTACTATGTTTCTAATTGGATGCTTTTGACTTAGTTTCTATTCAGACATTGGTTACCCAGGCCAGGCCATGTGTTAGATGCTACTGGGACTTTAGACTCTATTCTTTTGAGGTGTACAACATCCTTCATAGGCTATACACAAGAAGGATTCAAAGTGGAAACCCAACTATGTGAAGTGGTATTTGTGTTAGTCTGGGTAGACTAGAAAAACACATTCATGGAGACTCATAGATGTATAAGAAAGAGCTTTATATACAAGAGCAATTTAATATGAGAAAATAACCCAGCCCAGTGTAGATCAAGTCCATAAGTCTGATCTTAGCCCGTATGTCCGATACCATCTATAAAGTTCTCTTCAGACTCACGAAACACATGCAATGACTCCAAATGCAGGAAGATCACAAGCCAGTGGGTGAAAGGTCTGGGGATCCAGTGGCAGTGTAAGCATCTCAGTGCTGGCAGGAGGCTACACATGGCTTCTCTGGCTCCAAAGGTCTGACTCCATCAGCCTCTCTCCTGTGTCTTCTACAAAGAGATGTCTTGCAGGGAGTGAACAGAGAGTCTCACAGGGAGCAAGCCTGCGTCCCGCCTGCAACAAGCTATTTATCTCCTTAGCGCCTCCAAGTGAGGTCTTCAAATTGGTATCTGATTGACAGGCTAAACTCTACTCTGTTAGAGTAATCCAGCCTCTAACAATCGCGGGTTCTATAGGAACAACTGAATGGTTATAATATATAACGATTATAGCAAAATCATAGAAGATAGGAGAGAAGATAAAGGAGTCAGACACATTTCATGGTAGCATGCTAACATCAGCAGCCCCTCTTGGTGGTCCATGTGGAGGTGGGTGAAGAGAGAATAAGTCTTTACTGTCTTGGGACTTTTACATGTAGCCATAAGGCATGCATATTCAGTAGTTACATATGTCACAAGGTGGGTGGTAACTACAGTAAAGTACCTGAGTTTACAGGTGAGGAAATCTAATACCTGCAATGGGGGGAGGCATGAGGGATGCCACAGCAGGAGGAGATACAAGAATGTCTGCTTTTACAGGGAGATCAAATCAACCATATGCTCACATTAAGGCAGCATAGATTTTAGGGGAAAATCTGTGGGAATATATTTAACGCAGGATAATATACTTGGACTTTATCTCTAGCTTAACAAAGTGGTGACTTTCCTACCATGGAATACAAGCTTTCTAGATTCCCTCTGGTATAAATTAGGGAATAAGTCCTAGTCATATTTCCCTCAGTGTTAGTTTCCCATACCACTCCTTCACTCTTAATCCTCAAATTGATACCAGATTATATAACTGCCACGGCATTTACTTCAAACTTAAATGTAGCCTTTGAACTCATGACTAAAACAGCCTCATGTGAGAAAAACTATGACTGTTTTCTCATGATTATAGAACTTGTTGTGGTTGAACTTTGGTTCAGACATCTTGCCATGAGTGTGCCCATAAATGGTGACCCAGGAGTCCCATATACCTACTATTTTAATGCTCTTCTTGCATTATTATGATATGTAGTAATCTGTTGGTATGCTTTCTGCTGATGTGGATGAATATTAATGTAAGTTTTACCCTATCACCAACCTCCATTGTTTCTGTAAATAGTATCTAGTCACCTAAGAGTTTAATCTCAAATTTTTAAACTAAAGTGCATTTTCTAAGTCAATGAGCAATGAAAGTACCATATATACTCAAGTATAAGCCAACCCAAATATAAGCCAAGGCACCTAATTTTACCACAAACAGTGCCTAAAAAATGTGCTGAGGCAGGGCGCACAAGGGGTGAGGGGTGAGAGAATGGAAGTGCCCTGCAGGCCCGGCGGGCCGCTCCCCACTCCCCACTCCCAGCTTGGTGCCCTCAGACTCCCTGGCCTCCGGGGTGGGGGGTGTGGAGACCCCCACTCACCCACAGGCGAGGGCGGGTGAGGGGACGGCGTCTGCAGGGGAAACGGAGGTTCTGCTCAAATAACATTTAATGAAACCAAATTTGTAGAAATAACCACTTGCAATGAAACTGTTGTCCTTCCCTGTTTCCCTAATAATTTGGAACCGAAAAGCCTTGACGACCTGTATGTAAAGTGGAAATTTAAAGGAAAAGACGTCTTCGTCTATGAGGGGCACAAAGACCAGGCTGTTGTAACAAGCAGTCATTTCAGTAGTGCGCAAATAACAATATCAGAACCCCTAAAAGGCGTCGCCTCGAAGATGAAAAAGGGTGACGCTGTCCCGGGAACTACATCTGCGAAGTAACAGAATTAAGCAGAGAAGGGGAAACGATCGTGGAGCTGAGATACTGTGCCGTTTCCTGGTTTTCTCCAAAAGAAAATATTCTCATCATTATTTTCCCAATTTTGGCTATTCTTCTGTCCTGGGGACAGTTTGGTATTGTGACACTTAAATATACATCCAATCGTACGAACGCAGAAACCATCCTTATGTTTGTCACTGGCCTGATCCTCACCATAATTGTTATGGGCGGAGCCATTCTCTTCGTCCCTGCAGGTGAATATTCAGTAAAGAATGCTTCTGGTCTTGGTTTAATTACAATTCCGACAGTGGTATTAATATTACTTCAGTACTGTGCTTTTATGACAGCTTTTGGGATGACCTTCTTTGCCGTCGCCATATTGATTCTTCAGTTGGTAGACTTTGTACTGGCTGTGATGGGACTCAGCCTCTGTATCTCGGAATGCACTCCAGTACAGGGTCCTCTTCTGATTTCAGGTTTGGGTATCGTAGCTCGAGCAGAATTACTTGGACTAGTTTATATGAAATGTGTGGAATAATTGAAGAGGCCTGATGGGATGTGATGTGGCGTGAAAGGAATGGCACATGAAAGGAATACACTTGTGACTAAGCCCCATGGCCTTGACTCTGTGCTGGGGAGAAGAAAACAAGACAGTTTGGTCTGGTCTAAATCTGTGGGAGAAAACAAATAATTTACCTTTTAAAAAAAATGTGCTGAACAGCTCAGCTTATACACAAGTATATATGGTACTAATGCAATTGCTATGAATTAGATATGTTAGTATGCATAGTAATGTGTATATAAAGTAAGAAATTCTAATTGTAGATCTATTCTTTTTATAGTTTTAAATTATGTCACCAGGTATTTTAGTTCTGATAAATTTTATAAAAGTTCCATACTTTTAGGTACACATTGATAAATAAAAGTATGCCTATATTTAGAAAGTATAAGGTTAACTGTAAATTACTAAGTTAAAAATATAAAAACCATTCACATTCTTATATATCCTATTATAAAATATATCTTATTCATATTTACTTTGGCCAAATTCCATATGAAAAAGTGTTCCATAAACATTCTCTGAAAATTTACAAGTTGAAAAGTCAATATATTGAAATATTGTATAGAAACCTACTGTCATTTGAGTTCATCCAGTCTTTATTGTGAGAATAATGGATTGTAAAATGGATTTATAGTAGTGAGATTTAGCAATCTATTATTTTTTAAAGAGTATACATTGAAATAATGCATTTTAGTGCTATAAGAGTATGTCATTAAGGTATAAAGTTGGAAACAAAAATTATTGGATGTGTTAATGATTTAATACCACTTGTAATCACTCCAACTACTATTTAAATTTTCAGATGAGTACTTTCCAATATAAATACTCAAATGCCTATATATTAATTGTATATGATTCATTAACTTTATTAGAAAAAAGTACAAGTAGCTGGAACTAATTTAATAGTACTTTACATTCAACCCAATAAATCCAAATATTATTTAAATATTTATTAACCATATATATTAATGATGTATTCAACCCTTTTATCCAGATCAAACTTGAAATTTACTGTTTACTGTAAAATTATATTTACAGCTAATCTCAATTTTCACTGTACATATTTCAAAAGCTTGAAATAGTAAATAGTGAAACTTTAGATAATAGTTTATAGAATCAAGACCTATTATTAACCCTTCACTTATAATAACATCAATACTATTTTCTATCCTATAACACTCATTTATAATTTATTTTTCTATATTGCTAAAATTCATTTTAGCAGAACCATATAATGAAATGTCCTTATAATGACATTGAAAGTCAAATGAGTCAGATATTTGTTTATTTTTTTAAATCATTTTATTGGGGACTCATAAAACTCATCATAACCCATATAAAGATCAGTTGTGTAAAGCACATTTGTACATTCATTGCCCTCATTATTCTCAAAACATTTGCTCTCCACTTAGGCCCCTGGCTTCAGCTCCTCATTTTCTCCGTCCCTCCTTGCTCCCCCCTCCCTCACGAGCCCTTGCTAATTTATTAATTCTTATTTTGTCATATCTTACACTGTCCGACATCTCCCTTCACCCACCTTTTCTGTTGTCCACCCCCAGGGAGAAGGTTATATGTAGATCCTTATAATCGGTTCCCCCTTTCCACCCCACCCACCCTCCACCTTCCCAGTATCACCACTCTCACCACTGGTTCTGAAGGCATCATCTGTCCTGGATCCCCTGTGTTTCCAGTTCCTTTCTGTACCAGTGTACTTCCTCTGGTGTAGCCGGATTTGTAAAGTAAAATTGGGATCATGATAGTTGGGGGAAGCATTTAGTAACTAGAGGAAAGTTGTATGTTTCATCGGTGCTTTACTGCACCCTGACTGGCTTGTCTCTTCCTTGTGGCCCTTCTGTAAGGGGATGTCCAGTTGCCTACAGATGGGTTTTGGGTCCCCACTCTGCACTCCCCCTCATTCACTATGATATGATTTTTTGTTCTTATGATGCCTGATACCTGATCCCTTCAACGCCTCGTGATCACACAGGTGCTTATTTTTGAGAGAAGTGATGTATCAAAAGAGATTAGGAGAGGTTTCAAAGATCTAGTGTTAAAACGGAAACAAACCAAGAAGACTAATTTTCAATGTATATTTTCAAGATTATACTGCTAAATACAGTTAATAAACCAAAACCAAATTCAATGCCATCTGCCTAATGATGACACAGTGGGAGAGAGAAAAACTGCTGCCTGAGGTTTCTGGGAGTAAATCTCAGGAAGGTGATGATGCTTAGCTTGCTCCCTCATGGCCTTCTAATGGCCGATTTCATGATTAGCGGTCCCACTCCTAACCCACAGTGTCCCTCTCAACAATTCAAACTCATGAACGCCGAACCATTCCGGACTTGTAGCATGCCTGTATGACAGAGCAGAATGCCCCATTCATCTTTCTCCTGTGGATTGACTCGTAGCTTGGAAAGCGGGCCTTGAGGTTAGCAGCCCAATGCATCATCCACTCCACCACGAGAACGCCTGTCAAGCCATCGGAGCACATTAAATACAAGACGGAAGCTAAAAATCATAGGAATATGAACTCTGAACTTTTAATCCAAAGAAAGCTTAGCCCACAATATAACTTTATTATTTCATAAAAAAATAATTCAAAGCTGGTCAAATATCTTCTTTTCCTTAAAGGACTGTATCATAAATATTTAAGTTGTCCTGAAGAGATTATATATATATAATTGTTATATGTATTTGTATATATTAAATCATATAAACAAGAATGCTTTTACTCATAATATCTAATCATTATAACCAGATGTTTAAAAAATTTTATTCATAGATTATATGAATATATATTAAATAATTGTATTCATATATCGATAAATATATATATCGTAACCTTCCAATGGACAGAAATAACATTTTATTACTTCCATTCTCCAGAGACATTTTTTGAATTTGTACAAAATCTCATACATACAATAAATTTTTGCTATAATTGAATCCAACACTTTCATATTACAGATAAGAAAATTAAGTTTCGGAGTGGTTAAATGACTTACCTCAGGTCAAAAAACTAATTAGTAACTCAGTTTAAACAAGTCACTATCTTGTGACTTACAGCCTAATGAACTACTTTACTTCTTACATGCTCTGCAATTTACAATGTATTTTGTTGCAGTCAAACACTCTCCTTAAATTTTTATTGAGAAGAAATTCCCTAATAAAATGATTAATTATTTTTTTAATTACTTTTTCCCCCATTACTATTTGTCACATATTCATGAAAAAAATTGGTTTGTTCATCTCTGTCTGATGGAACTCATACTTAAATAAGACTTAAGTAATCTGTAAGAAAATAAAAAGCTCTTTCATTGGAAAGGGATGACAAGTAATTTAACGATTAGGGATCTTTGAGGGAGCGAGTGGAAAGTCTGGTGGTTATCGCTCAGTGAAGTTGGTTTCCCTGACTCCCCACCCTCCCCACTTTTTCTGATCTGGCCTCTACCAGCCATTGTATCATACACACACAGATTACAAAAATAGGTTGGCACAGACTTATAAAAGATTCCAAAGAAATACTAGGGAAAGTTTTATTTAAAAAGCACTTCTACTATGTTTTCAGTTCATACATGCATGGGTTTATTCTAAGAAAACTGTTTTTGAACCATCTATCTGATCCATGGATAGCTGCTGACATTTTTTCCCTCAATAATAGACTTAATTGTTGTCACTACATTACCTTTAGAAAATAGGTCCCATCCAAACAGTGACTTCTGAGAGGATTTGTTCGCCCAGTTAAATTCAAAGATGTCAGCTCAGAAGATTGCTGCAATTATTTATTTAGTATTTTATAATCCCAAAGGGTTAATCTTGTTTGATTTCTTGAAGGACATAAGAAAATCACCAGAGATTAAGAGGAAGAAGATTTAAGAAAATTGAAAACTGCGTTGGAGGGTAAAAAAGGCCAGGAGAGTTGGGCTACAGATGGGTTTTTGTTCCCCATCCTGACAGTGCACTTTCCCACTCCTGGACAGTGCAAGGGCGTCCCACAAAGCTTTGTGGGAAATCATACCTCATCCACCTTCAAGGCCCGATCTTGCCCTTTATTGAGATTTATTATTGTTCTTCAAACTCAAAGAACATTGAATAGAGATATCATCTGCAGCCCTAGAAGATGCCAAATTTGCCATTTTGAAGTCATATAAATCCAGGAGTAGAGAATTCTTTAACAAAGTGCTTGAAACCTCAAAAAAATACTGCTATTGAGTTGAATCCAGCTCAGAGTGACACTAGAGGCCAGAGTAACACTGTCCCTGTGGGTTTCTGAGACTGTACATTTTGACAGCAGTAGACAGCCTTCAGAAATGTATAGCTCTAGAGCAGCGATCTCAACCTGTGGGTCACATTCACAAGAGTCGCCCGATTCATCACAGTAGCAAAATCACAGGTATGAAGTAGCAATGAAAATAATTTTTATGGTTGGGATTGTCACCACAACATGAGGAACTGTATTATAGGGTCACGGCATTAGGAAGGCTGAGAACCACTGATCTAGAGAGTGGATATGATGAGAAACAGGTTCACATTTTTTCATTTTGCTTAATTCAAGTGTCTGTGATTTAGTAGCAATACATATTGACTTACCATTGTTTGTTGCAGATTAAAAGTAAACATTTTATTTTCAGGATAGTGTATGACATTTTGAAAATCACTGAAATATTCATTTATTGTTCACTCATATTTTAATTTTTAAGCCATTTATTGTTTTATTCCTTTCTGCATTGAAAAAAATGTAGCGTGATTACTATGTAGTAGACAAATACCTGTCATACAGGCAAACCAATCTTTTTCCTAATGAAGGTGATATTATATTTACAAAAAGAAAAAAGAAATTAATATATATAATTATGCTGCTGCAAGTGGCGTAAAAGTCAGATATAATTGCATAGTTTCATGAGGGTGCACTTTAGTCGCCGATTAAGGGTATTGAATGTAGATGAAGGAGCATTTCCTGTGATATCCAGATC